CGAGGCAAAATGTGGTTTTATTAAAAATTAAAAATATATATTTTTTATTCAGAGGTGATATAGGAAGCTAAAGTTGTGAACCGGGAATATGAATTGCTTGACCAGCAACTTCTTGTGTTGCCTGTGTGGTGGAAAAAATGAGGATAAACTACAAGATTACAGTGTACCTACTACAGAGTGTATAGAATTGGAAAACCTTTGGCATATACTGTATGTGTTTTATTTAAACTGTGTATTTAGCTGTTTGCATGAGGTTTAGATTTATATAGTTACTTAGTTACATAGTTGGTCAGGTTGAAAAAAGACACAAGTACATCGAGTTCAACCTATAGAGATACAGAGAGAAAAAAAGAAGAAAAAACATAAAACAGAACACTATGCCCACAGTTACCCACTGTTGAGCCAAAGGAAGGCAAAAAAAACCCCTATAAAGCATGGTTCAATTTCCTTCAACAGTGGAAAAAAAAATTCCTTCCTGATCCCATAAGGCAAACGGATATTCCCTGGATCAACAATCTCTGGTGGTTAATATAGTTATAAGAACTCAATATTTAGTAATATTCTGTGCATTTAGGAATACATTCAGACTTTTTTTTAAACAGTTAACTGAGCTAGCTAGAACTCGCTCCTGGGAGAGTCTATTCCACATTTTCACAGCTCTAAGTGCTCATTTGCCAAATAAATGCCCAATCACACAGTGCATTCAGACCTATGCTTTACCCATGCAGAACAAGGCAACAGGCTCACTTAACTACTGCTCCCTCAATTGTGTATACTTTTTGCTTTCTTCCTTGCTGCTCTGTTTTGCTGCCTGTAGTGAGGAAAATATTAAGTGCTTCTGGGTATGGGAAGCACATGACTTAAGTAGGCTATACAGGCTTCGAATTCCGGACAGTTCTTGATGGCCGGTGGCCGCTGTCAGAATACCAAGAAAACAGCGGGGGATTTGTCCATCAAAGCTCTTAAGTGTTGATGGAGGAATCTGTTCTATTTTTTTCGTTCAGCCTGCAGGCTGAATGAAAAAAATAGAACTGTGTATACCTGTTGGAACTTCTTGCACAGCCCCACAGAGAAACACAAGCACACAGTCAGATATGCATGCTGAACATGGCTTGGCTAAACAGGAAGGAAGCCACAGCTTTATTTTCTTCCTTATTCAAAACAGAGTATATACCATAGGTACTGTATAACATAACTTATAAACACTGCCATCTAGTGACAGAAATTGTATACTGCAGTAGTTATTGCTATAAACACAGTAATGTGTATTCTAACAATACCCAGCTTTACTCTCCTTCCTCCCATGGTGTAGCATTTGGTACCTGAGTGGCACCCATGCTGTCATATGGTGGAAGGGAGAGAGTCATAAGCCTTATGTAAGCTCCATCTAGAGTGGCTGTGAACTCATACATGTCACTCCTATAATCAAATGGAGCTTTGGGAAGTGGCCTGAACCCACTGTACGTCAATCACACGTGACTATACACAGTTCTGAACCAAGCGAGCCGTCGCAAGGATGTGGCAACACCAATTCCAGCCTTACCCTGCACAGAGATTTCGCAGCTTGCGGGACAGCAATCTCAGGCCAGCAGACTGAGAGCGATCGTCACTAGGGTTGGTTAACTCCTCAGTTAACCCTTTATACACCAAACGTTCACTGCCGCCACTTACTTTAACGGAAATACGCACCAATCCCAGCAAATGCTGCGACAATTCAAAACACTTAAACAAAGCCTATGATACAACTGTCCTCTCAGACAGGAATATGACAGGACTCATTATACAGTAGCACTCTTCAAAGAGGCAAGGATACTTTTAGTTCTTATTTAGAGTGTAGAGATAAGCTTAACGATTTTTAAGATCGTTCTTTAATAAAGAAACGGTGCAGAAAAATATACAGAAACAGATATTATTAAAGAGAGACAAAATATATAACAACAGTAAAACAAAAGGGAACAAAAAGAGAATACTTAACAGTCCTGGGTTTATGAGTTCTGACAGAGTCCAGAGTTCAATCAACAAAAGAGGGGTCTGAGTGGCTCTTCTCCAAACAAGGCTGGTACAGATGATTTCCAGATATTGAAGGGGAACTCTTCTGGGATATTACAAACTTCTTGATGTTGCAAGAGTTCCTTTCCTTGATGTTACCAAAACATGAGCCTCCTCTAGCTGCCTTGCAGCATCTTTTTGTCAGCCCTCTAGGGGGTGTCACGGAGCCAGCCCCTAGGGCAGGGCTGGGGAGAGGGAGCAGGAGGGATGAGCCTTTACGATGTCCTCCGCCACATCCTCCCAAATGGTTAAATTCATAACTATGAGTATAATCGACTATTCATATCCAATACGGTCTGACAACCGCTAAATTATGATGCTTCATGAAGTTAGCTTTATATTGAAACCAATCTTTTCAGAGAAATGAATGATGGGGGGAAGGAAGATAAATGTCACCTGTCGGTGACCGAACGATTGTAATATATCTATTTTGGTATATGTGTTCTCGTCTTGACGAGACACAGCTATAGGTAGCTTAATTTTCCAATATAACTGTCCGATTCCAAGTTATGAAACTTGATATTGGATCTCAGTTTTATGACTGGAGTGTGACCTGGGTCATTATCCTTACCAGGCCCTGTTTATCTAAAGCTGTCACTTGCTAATTTATTGGGGGATTAGCTGAGCTGGGCAAAAAGCATTATCATGCATCAGCGGTTTATGACACCTCTCATAAAGAAGTCATTTAAGCTGATCCCCACCAGGTCCAGGGGGAACTCTAGATAACATTCAGTTTTAGTGCTTCACTTAAGAACTATACAGATTACAGGCGCAGATTAGCAGATCTCTGTTTTTTGGGAATTTGAAGAGACTTGAAGTCAGGCTAAGGTCACCTACAATAAAAAACTGCATTTGCCTTGGCTAGATATATCTAATATTAATAGGCTCAAACTTCATCACAAAGGGAAGGTATGCGCAGTGTACTGTGGGAGGGAGTTCACAGTTCACAGTGAAGTGATTTTTTTTTGTCGTGCCCTACAGGGCATTTACAAATTTATATTTCAAATGCAACCATAAAAATGTATCATAGTAGGCTCAATTTACAAAGTTGTAACAGGTGTTATTTGCCATAAAAATAACTATTTTCACCAAAGTCTTCATCTTACATTGGTTGGTAATGCTGAAAATATAGGTCATCATGGCAAATAGTTTGGGGTATTTTAGGCAAGCAAAAGTCAAATAAAATAATGTATTTTCAGGTAAATTGTACACAAATAACTTGGAGCAGAAGCTCACACAAACACCCTGCAGTTACCCTGTAAAGATACCCATCAAGGCAGCACTTATTTATATCTTGTTTTATTGTCTGAAGACACCCCTATCGTTCTAATTTACTCTTGGGTTGATTGCATAAGCATTAGTGAAAAAAGAAACATGTATATTATGTTTTTGTCAATGATGTAAATAGCTTAACAAATGCTTAATTTTTCTTCCACACAGCATAAAAAATGCATCCTAATGTTAATTGGTATTTCAATAGAGTAAATTACTAACCCGTATGCTCCCAGTAAGTGCTTAAAATGGTAATTTTGTCCCCTGCAGCTGGCTTATTGTGCAGTACAGTTCCTGGAGAAAGACTCCTCACTAACAGAGCATGTAAGTACAGTATAGTTTGTATGAGCTATACAGTGTTATTTCACTGCACAACAAATGCCATTTTACTACAGACGTATTATTTTCATCTTTTGGATTTAATTTAATAGAAATAAATAATCAGATAGATACGACTGTACAATTTCTTAGCTGTTTGCACAATAGTGCTATGTAACAATGTGTTTTAAATAATTATAATATATAGTATATGTACATTTCTATGAAACAGTACATTCTGGTACCAGTCTCCAGATTCTGGTGCAGAGGGATTGTTTTGGGAGTAAAGGATCCTGGTGCAGGAGAAGTAAGCAAACCAAGGATTGTTTAAATTAAGGAGGCTTAGTTTGATGGTTGAGTTACAGAGAGGGTTAGTGTAGGGTTGTCATTAGGGTAACAGTGAGGGACAGTGTTATGGGTACAGGAAGGGTTGATGTGAGGACTTAGTGTTAGGGTTACAGAAAGGGATAGTGTAAGTATTATTGCTAGAGTTACAGGGAGGGTTAGTGTTAAACTTAGTGTAAAATTACAGGGAGGGCTAGATTTAGGGTTACAGTGAGTGTTAGATTTACGATTACGGGAAGGGTTATTGTTAGGGTTGTAGGGACGATCTGTGTTAATGTTGGTGTTAGTGTTACAGGAAGGGTTAATGTGATGGAGCTTAGTGTAAGATATAACTTTGTGAGGCAGGAGCTTTGTGCTGAAACTACCAGTCTCCCAGTGCTGAAAACCATTGTATCCATACTTCCAGTATGTCTTTTATTCTCATTTCATGTACCTGCTTCTTCTGATTTTTAACAGTCAAATCTTTTTTTCTGGAAACCTGTAAAGCAATGACAAGTCTATGCCAGAATTTCTTCCTCTTCCTACACAGTGGAGGAGAACTCACAAACTGCAGTGTACTGTATATACTTTCAGCTTCCCACTAAATTCAATCAATGGCATTTCTGAAGCTGTTCCTGTACAATGCACATTAGATGTTGCAAGGACTACTTCATTCTGCAGTAAAGGAAGTCAAGTTCGTTTAGGTTCCCGTATTGGTGATATATATCTTTTACAAAGCAGAGGAGATGACAAAAGGGAGATAGTAGTGGGAGACCAAGTGCTATTTAGACAGCAGCTTCCCATTTCGTGTTTTTTTCCCTCCTGGCACTGTCTATGGTACCACTGCAACACTGTGGAAACATTGCATCATTCAGGTATCAGGTGTAAAAATGTAATAATATGGGAGATCAGGGGGGGGGGGGCTCAATGTAGCAGACCTCTGTTCCTGATGTTATAATCAGTGGCAAGGAATACAAAGAGAATAAGCAAGATCCATTTTTTTCCATTAGAGGAAAGGGGGAGGATTACAAATCCTAACAACATTTTGCACGGGCTGCCAGAAATCATTAAGCTGGCCCTACCTATGTCCAGCTGTCAGAATGTCTTGCATCTTACACATCATTCCTGTGAATACAACTTTTCTGTGTTCATTCCTGACTTTTTCAACACAAGCGTGTCCTACACTGGGCACTTGTACGAATCGCAGAGTGACACAATAAATACTAAATTAATGGTTACTGAGAGTCCAAATATTATTCATTACATATTGGTCCTTAATAAACTATGCAGAGAGATTCATTTCAAATCGGTAAAAAAAAGTCAGGATAGCAACATATAAGTTCAAAAACTACAGGGAAACTCCACATTCAGGGCTAATAATGAAAGCTTGTTTTATTTTCATATAGTCAATACACACACAAACAATCTTCCCTTTCATGGGTATTTTAGAACAGCCTTTCTCAACAAGGGTGCCTTCTGACTTCCTCAGGGGTGCCTCGAAAATATTTGCTCAGTGTCATTCCTTTCCATGTCATGGTGCAAACAGGCACTTAATGTGAAGGGGGAACTCTGATGTGAAAGGAGGGCTCTTATGTAAAGAGGGGCTTTGATGTGAAGAGGGCTCCTGATGTGAAAGGGGAGGCTTCCGATATGAAGAGGGCTCTTGATTTGAAGGGTCGGCCTCTGATGTAAAAGGAGGGGGCTCTAATGTAAAAAGACGGGGGCACCTGATGTAAAGTGTTGAACCATTTTTTTGTGTTTTTACATGGAGTTCCACCATAGGAGGGTTCTATGGGGATCCCACTGCACTCATTATCGGTGTACCTCTTGAGGATCAGTGCTGAATTAACTGGAGATGGGGCCGCTATATCCAAGTGAGAAGTATTTCACCAGCACATCAGGGTCAAATATCTAAATGTGTCTTTATTGACGTGTAAACTCAGGCAACGTTTCAGGGCTACCTAGGGTCACTTCGTGAGGCCTGAAAAGTATGCAAACTCTGGAGGCATTAAGGTCTAAAATATTAGAAAAGGATGTGTGACCCCACACAAGGCGGAAAAGCGTGTCACCAGCACACCAGGGTCTTAGGAGGGGCCACACATTCTTTTCTAATATTTTAGACCTGGGTGCCTCTAGATTTTGCATACTTTTAAGGGGTACCGTGACTGAAAAAAGATTGGGACACTGTATTATAAAACCTTAGCCCTCTGGCTCATGCACAGTATTCTAACTCTTCTGAAGATTCTAGAACTTACATTGCAGCAGTTGAGTTTAGAGTAGATTTCTGCTGGTTAACATTGCACAGGTCTGGTTTACTCCAAAATTCCAATTGTTTTTAGCTTTATGCATCTTCCCAATATGTAATATTAGCACTCTTGTTTGTTGCACTTTCACATGGTTTCTTTCTTTTTAAAGAGACTTCATGTCCTATTCCAGCAACACCTATAGGCATAAAAAAGTTTGAAATGAAAGTAACAATGCTTATCTTTACAGGTAATCCGAGGTTTGTTAAAGTATTGGCCAAAAACCTGCACTCAAAAGGAGGTAAAATGTTTCAATTGATACTTTGGTCATCCAAGATTGTTTTCACTTAAAAAAATGCAGTTGAGTAGTTGAGTTAATCAAATACATTTTCAATGCAATATTTCAGACAAAAAAGTGACAAACTCCACAGCACAACAAATTCTTAAATTTCTTGATATAACAATACAGTGCAAAAACTCTTCTATGGAGGATAAATGTAGTGTATGTTACAATCACCACTAGTAGGCCCCATTCACACTGTAATGGGCCCGCACGTACAGCTCCGTGCAGGGCCATAGCGTGCAGCTCTCGGAAAGGACAGGTGCTGCGTGTGATTAGTACGCAGCCCCCGTCCTTCTCTATGGGACTGCGCGGCCGTACGCCCCCTATGCTCACCCGCCCTGCACGTCCGTGCGGTTGAGCGTACTCGCACGCTGACAGGATGGATCCTATCTGCATCCGAGCGAGGAAACACGCACGGCCCTGAACTTGAGGTGTGAATGGGGCCATAGAGCCAGTCCTCCTAAAGGCAATCTGTCAAGAGAAAAACACGGTGGCAGCTATTGATTTCTCATTCTGAAAATGATGATTTGCCTGGCTGCCATGCTGATTCTCTAGTTTCAGAACTTTAACATGTTGAGCCAGATCAAGCATGCAGATAAGGACTTCTAACTTTCATGATCTGCATATAATTTGTGGGTCAGTTTCTCAGAATGGATCATTTCCTAACCAGCATGTGATCAAATATGGCAGGCACTGAGTGCTTGCCAAGTGTCTCCTTTTAGAGTCTGCAAGAACTTTAATCTGCGAGTACAAGCTTTTTCAGTAAATACATTATTTAAACTTATGCATCCTTCTGGCAGATTATAATATCTATTTGTTCTATTTTGCAGTATAGTTACATTATTCTTAATAATACACCAATATAAAAACACACTTACACAAACTAAATGACTATGACCTGAATAGCATTGAGAAACTGACTGACAGGCATTATGTCCTAGTGCTGAATGTATTTTTGTAATTTTTACTATCTCTTGGGAAATTTAAAGGAGAACTATGGGGTCAGGGCTTTTCCCCATAGTTCTCCTAAGGGTAACGGGAGGACACAAACTAGCGTCCTCCCGTCACCCTAAGCTCAGTATACCGGTAGCTCTGCTCGCGGTATACCGAGACGCCCCAGCATTACTGTCGAGATCCACCCGGCTGCGGGATTGACAGCTGGCTCTGCCTATCTAGAGGCAGAGCCAGCTGTGCCTGCCCCTCCCCCGTCCATTCCGCCAGTGAGCACTGGGGGATAGGACAGGGGAGGGGGGGAATCCCTGCAGGGAGCCGTGAGTGACAGCCACGGCTCTCTGCAGGGATAGATCGAGAAGTGAGCAATGCTATGTGTTCGCTCACTTCCCGATCTATTGAGCCGACCTGTGACAGTTTCATTGTCACAGGTCGGCTAGAACTATGAGGTTGAGTGATTTTCACCCGCCTCACAGTTCTTCTTTAATAGCAAAGAGAATCAGATAGCACTATGAACATGTCTGTTGGCTAAGAAGTAAATTGGTGAGGTAATAGAAAATTATGATGAAAGCAGGCAGTGCTGGACACTCCAGTCATGTAATTGCACATGTGTGTCTTCTGGCAGGTAATGTTCCTTGGAGAGTTGGAGGAAATTCTAGATGTCATTGAACCCTCCCAGTTTGTGAAGATTCAAGAGCCCCTATTTAAACAGATCGCTCGCTGTATTTCCAGTCCTCATTTTCAGGTCTGTCACATTGCTACAAAAAACAGTATTTTGCACATTTCGCATGTGTATATGTGTTACATACTACTTTCAACCGTTCAGTTCCCCAGCTCTTGTTTCTAGCCTTAATAACATAATTTGTCTTGATATCTTTTTCAGGTTGCAGAGCGAGCACTTTATTTCTGGAACAATGAGTATATCCTGAGTCTGATAGAAGAAAACTGTCACACCATCCTCCCCCTGATATTCGGCACCCTCTACCAAGTCTCCAAGGAGCACTGGAACCAGTAAGTGCTGTCCCATAAAGGAAGCATGCTGTAATGTTTCAGTGATGGGATACGTAATAGATTGATTGTATGAGCTGACTTTGGACATTGCCATCAATAATGTTTTACATTTAGTAATGCAACACACAGACGGGCTGATTTATTAAGCTGCAGCAACACTTATCACATGCTAAAAGTGTCAATATTAACACATCTCTTGATTCAATATTTGTCATTGGACAAATATTTTCTATTGTGATTTAACACCTCTTTTATACAACGTTTTCTCTAGATGAAAATCTTAAACTGAACCGTTATCAAGTTTAAATCATTGTAAAACACTTCGCTTTTCAATTTATATGGGCTGCTGAAATGGTAGTCATTATGTCGTTGGTTCTCGCCTAAAAGTGGTCCTATAGTAGTCATTATGTAGTTGGTTCTCGCCTAAAACTGGTCCTATAGGGAAGCATGCATAGCACTGTGTAATTTTTGGCTTTCTCACCAAATTGAAACTTACACAGTCAAAGCATTCAGGTGGCCTGGTGGCTGATGGGGGCAGCAGGGGGAAGCAGGGAAGGTAAATACACCCTCTTCAAAGTATATCTAAAGCCAAAAGGTTTTTTATTTCATTTTGGAGAGTAGGAGAAGAATAAAATGTCTGTGAATTATTTTTTTTGCCATTTGTGTCTTATTTGGGAGAATTCCCTTCCTTTCACTTCCTATCCTATAGACTAAACAGGAAGTAAGAGGATATTTTTCAAATATGGAGGCGAAAGCCCCTCTTAGATAGTTGACAAGGGACCTTGAGTTTGTCCTCTATTTCTGTTCTGGTGGAAACTTAAAATTTTGGATTTACCCCCACTTTCCTGTTGGTAGTGATGATCAGAACAATTAGAGTGATTTTCCCTAACTAGGTCACAGACAGCAATAAAAACCTGACAGGGGTTCTAACCCTTCACTACTCTATCAACATCTAAAAAAAGTTTGCCATTAGATTGTATACTTTGAAATCCCTCCTATAAAATAAGGGAATAAAGATAGGAAGCCCTGTTTTATCTCTAAGCTTTATCATAAACTGCTTCCAACATTTACTTCAAACAGAGGTTTTCATTGTATACATGTCCAATTAAATGTAAAGCTTACCCTGCCAGCTATTTTCAAAGCATTGTTACTAACTCTAAAACAGGGGTCTCAAAGTACCAGCCAAAGGGGGCCAATTGCGGCCTGCGAGTCGGTCCCATGTGGCTGACAAGTCAGGTACATGGTCACAGACTTGCGGGAGCAGCTAGATCTCTGTCGGATGCAGACCACAAGCTGCTTCTCAGTGCCGCCACTCGGATCCTTTCAGCCAGCTCTCTGAAATCTTTTAGTGAACGCTGGCCTAAAGGATGGATTGGTAAGGTCTGCAGCAGACCTTACTAATCAAACACTGGAGCACCAGGGATCGTGCATCCTTGCCTACTCCCTGAAAAAGGTAATCAGGAGAGGGGGCTCTGTATTTAATTTATGTGCGTGTGTGAACACGGTTGTATCTTATATGTGGAGGGGGGTAGTGTATTATTTTATATGGGCAGGGGTAGTAGTATTTTTTTCTATGTGTATGGGGGGGGGGGGGTATTATTGTATATGTTCAGTGGCAGTATTTTTTTTAATGTGTAGTGGGGGGTGTATTATTTCATATGTGCAGGGGTAGTATTTTTGTATGTGTATGGGGAGGGGTGAAGTAGGCTCCATTCACACCTGTAAGTTAAGGTGCAATTAGGGATTCCTGCGATGTGTGATATGATTACATTTGGTTAGGAATTAATCACTCTCCCTGGACACATCAATTGTGCATCCAGAGAGTGTTTTCTAACCGCATGTAATCATATCACATACCATTACATGCGGTGTGACGGCAATTACATGCGGCGGCTGTCACCTGATCATTACCTTGAATTGGTGACAGCTGCTGCTTGTAAATGCCAAATTAGGGATTCCTGCTGCAGGAAAACGCAAGATCCTGATGCAGGAATCCCTAATCGCACCTAAACTTACAGATATGAATGGGGCCTTATTGTGTGTGTATTGGTGTCCGTAGTACCATACCGGATATAGTGACATTTTATTTTGAAGTATGAAATTTGGCAAGCGGCCCCATGGGAGAAAAAAATTTGAGTAGTCCCTGAATTAATTGAGTTTGAGACCCCTGCTTTAAACTATTTGAGTGCCCAAACTGGTATTTATATACAGAAATTAACCCATTGAAAGCAGGCATACCTTTGGAGGTAGCTCCCTCCTCTTTAGAGAAACATCAACATACCAGAGGCTGAGACTCACTCAAAACAGCTGGAAAAACCCCAGTGCATGTCTGCTCCAAACCATCTTGTATTTGGGCGCTCATTTTCCTTAAAGGCACCGCAACACATCAGAAGTTCAGACTCACCCACAACGAGGATGGGACCACATTTTGCTGAGGTGCCTTGTGTGTTTTTAGTTTAAATGTTGGAAACAGTTTATAATTAGGTTTAAAGTGCCAGCTAGGCGAATCAAATACTGGAACGTTTTTTAAATCTGTTTCTTCCCTCATAATGCAAAGCGGGGAAGAAACAGATTACAAAAACTCTCCATCTGTCACTTATCTGAATTTCATTAAAAAAAATTACTACCATATAAGCCTGGTAGTCTTCTTTCAAAATCATTGAGGCTACAGATATCCTGTATACTTAAGCTCTTCCTGCTTCTCATGCAACAAAATGTTCTTGCACCTGACTCTTGAGAAACCATGGCCTTACTTACCTTCATGCCCTTTGTACTTTATCAGTTCTTCTCAATTGTTACTGATTCCCTCTGTTTCTTCTTTAGGACAATTGTCTCCTTGATTTATAATGTCCTGAAGACTTTCATGGAAATGAATGGGAAACTCTTTGATGAACTCACAGCATCCTATAAACTTGATAGGCAGCAGTAAGTCCTGCTCCAGGAAATGTATGCTTAAACATGGTGAAATTATAGTTTTTGGAATGCTTAATGTTACATAATAACTCGCAAGTAGTTAAAGTGACACTAAACTCTGAAGTTAAATCTTAAAAATGCATTCAAGTGCCTTAACTATTGACAAAAATGTAGCTTATTTGTGTATCACTTGGCTGTAGATCCTCAAATCATCTCTGAATGTGTGCTGACACTGTCCTTCCTTCTGGCTAATTTTGTTCCCCAGTTGTGTGTTGTAAAGTAGCCATCGCTCCAAGCTTGCTCCCAGGATGGAATATAATTTCGATACAAATTATTAAACTAAGTGTAAGATTGTAGTCCATTATTGGAATGAGCTTGGAGTGGAACTTGAATTCTTTTAACTCCAGAGTTTAGTGTCACTTGAAGTACCTTGACTGAGTTGACCACAGGATGGCAACATTCATCCTCTCTGCTGGATTTTTACAAATTATACACGAGGTAGCCATTGCCTATGTAAGTGTGAATGCATGACTGTAAAACTGGCAGCATGAATAATAATGAAATACTAAACTGTGCATTAGTTTTCATGAAAAAGAGCAGATCTTCATAGTTGTGTGCGGATGCCCCAAATTAAGTGGACCTTCTGAAATTCACGGTACCGTAATTTCTTGTATAGGACAGTAATACCCGGAGTTGCTCTTCAAAGCTCAACAACCTATTTTTAAAATGTGAACAGTATTACCGGGCAATGCTGGCAGCACAGTGGCTTAGTGGTTTGCATGTTCTCCTTGTAGTTGTGTGGGTTTCCTCCGGATGCTCCAGTTTCCTCCCAGATGCCAAAGACATGCTGGAAGGTAAATTGGCTCCTGTCTAAATCAGCTCTAGAGTGTGTGTGTGTGTGCGCATATTAGAATGTAAGCTCCTTTAGGGCAGGAACTGACGTAACTGTGCAGTATGTAAACGTTGCACAAATTGTTGGGCTGTATAAGTACCTGTAACATTATAATATGTTGGTTTACTAACCTTATCACACTGCTTATGGAGACAGTGAGTTAAGGGAAGACCAACAATAGATCCTTTTGTCCCTATCTTATGTGCCGATCACACTGATTACTATAGATATAAGCATTCCTTTTGCAGATGCAGAAAATATTCATAGTTGTTAGCTTTCTGTTCAACTGGATTCTCATTGCATCATTTCTGGTTAAGTAAATTAGACTGCTGTTTATCTAAACTTTGAATCAGACATTACATCCATCCTTACCCTTAGCTTTTTAAAAAGAAAGATTTGGCCATAGAAGTTTTTGGGGTTCTTGCAAATGCATCACACATGGATATGTAGGCCCCCTAAATTGCATTTTATTTAGGCTGAGTATCCCCTTAATTTATTTGTGTTAATTCTTTCCTAATAGGGAGATGAAGCGAGAAAAAGATCGCCAAGAGCTTTGGACAAAACTGGATGAGCTGCGTCTTAAGAAGCTCAATGGTCTAGAAGAAGCTCAGATGAACCAGCTTAATTTACAGCACAGCAGAGCGAGTAAGAGTTAGGAGACCCCACCATCACCTTCCACTATTTAACAGAAGACCACTGCAGCCAATCCACACCCCCTCCTCCCCACATTGCACCCTTTGTTTAGAATTCCTAAGTACCTCCTTAAGAGGAGGAAGAGCCGTAGCTCACACCGTGATGCCAGTACCATTAATAACATATGGGATTAAAACATTCCAGGGATGTCTTCTTTTCATGTTTTAGCAGGTATATTTTCTTTTCCTGGGAGAGCAACATAGATTGAAGCCTTGTCGGCAAACCAACTTATACCATCCCCACTTAGCAGCAGCAAAGACTTCTAGGAAAAGCCATTACGTATCTATGTCACTTTCTGTCCATTGATATTATGAGTGCTATGAAGAAGGTTAACAAGACTGGTCACTACAACATCAAAGGCTTCCTGGGGAAAAAAAACAAAGAAAGAATTTGTCACTTCCTGTCCAGTGGAAGCAGGGGCTTCTGGGAAGATCCCTGCATCTGTAACCCTTTGTGAAAGTTAAGGCTTCCGGGTAAGCCTGTCACTAATCCACTTCAGTCATATTTTGACCATGAAAGTAAAGGCTTCTGGGAAAGCCTTCTTAATATTCAGCAATGGTCACTTTCTGTTTGTAAAAACAGAGGCTTCTGGAAAGGCCTATGTCTCCTGTCTGTCAATTTCTGTCTGTGAGAGCAGAGACTTCTGGGAAAGTCTCTCCACAGTTATCTTTATTCTGTCAATAAGAGTCTGGGCTTCTGGGAAGCCAGTTCTGAACCACTCTTGTAACCGAAACCACCTCTGCGCCCCCCCCCATCCACACACATCTCTCCTGGTTGTAGAAAACCGTCAACTTCCTTACAAGCAAAAGATTCAGTGGACATGCAGAATAACACCATGCTGGATTCATGGAAGCAAAGGCTTAATAGGCAGGCTGACCTGTCCTCTACTGCCCATTGATGTTCGTCCTATGAATGCTTCAGGTCAGTTAACATGTTTGTTGACTGCAATTGAAGAGAAGATAAGGTGTACTTTCAAAAATTACAAACAATGAACTTCAAAATATATTGGGGTTCTTAGATATAAGTTGTGATGGAAGAGTTTTGCCCAACAGTTGATAACAGTTCAGATCAAATACATTCCATTGTCTATTTGAAGGTGCCATGATCATAAATAAATTCGAATGACTAGCTATTAACGGCATTTTAAAGGCACATTGAGGAACAATTCTACAAGAAAGCGGTTTCTTTCTAGGCAATAAAAGGATTGTGTGTAGTCAGTTCTGGTCCCAGTTTGCATCTGGCAAATGTTTGCATTACCCAGCAGCCGCAAATAATTTTTCAGCATGAAACCATCTATGGAATATCTTTGGAGTACAACTGTGAATGAAAGGTGAATGAAAGCTGCTGTATCTATGAGGCAGTTAGCATCTAGGATTGTTGTTTAATTCTGATGTTCTGGATAATGGTCTCACCAACTTGTTTTTGTTTCTTATTGCCATTTGAGAGAGAGCAAAGGATTCTAGTTTCCTAACAGTACACAGAAAGTACCTTAGTCAGCTGGACCTGTATTAAAAATTGGAAGGTGTAGGTGCTGATAGAAAACTAAGACATAATGAACAGGGGGAACTGTCTGAAGAAATAAAGGACTGAACCATTAAGTGCAAGATATTCCTTTTAGTTATCCAATTTAGCTGTTATGTGCTACCTATATTTGTAGATATCATTCCAGTTAATAATCAATCTGTTGTACTGTAGAGCTGGGTTTTTGAAAGCTAGTTTGCAGAATCTAATTACAGAGGAGGGAAAAAAGACATTCTGATTTTGGTGCAGAGGACGCAAAAGCCAAAATCCTTGTCTCTCCAAAACAAAGCAGGATGTGGTTCTATAAACAAATAAAAAAATATTATTTTTTTTAAAAAAAAAAAAAAAAAAAAAAAAAATGTCTTACCTGCTCACTATGCAGAACTGTGGTGTATTCAGAATTGTTCTTACAGTCATGTGAAAATCATTGACACTGTATCACAGAATAGAATATGCTTGTGATGAGGGTAAAGCCAAAAACAGTTATTATTATACCTATTTGACACAACTGAGCAACTCTTGAAGACAACTTATTTCAGGGTTTACATTTCACCAAAGGATTCTGGGTCAATTAAATCAACTGTGAGCAAGAAACAACCTAATTGTTTTGATAGACATTGGCATTATGATCAAGTTGGGTTCTGAGTGACGTTTCACGGTGTGATACCTAAATTAACTCCAAAACACTTCAAAAGAGAATAAAGGATATGGAGGAATTTGCTGTTTTCATTAAAATGCAGCTTTCCATTGCTTTAAAGAGTATATATAAATATAAATATATTGTGTGCAATGTTTTCATTTTAATTTTTATTTTTTTAAACAATTATTTATGGTATTATTATTTATTTCGTATTTAATAAGGTCAGCGTTGGATTTGTTTAGTTCACAGAGGGAAAGGGGAGGAGTGGGGGTGAATATGATATTTAACCTGTTCACTGCTGAATTAAATGCTGGGTCTCAGAAATATGTCCTGTCTTTATGTCTAAACTTTCTGGCAACCTATATTTATATAGGCAATTAGTTATTAGGTTGTAAAAAGATGTAGGTTCACCAAGGTTGACCATTCATTTTCTGCTATTTTGACTAAAGTATGTTTTGCATGACTTTTCTTGCTAAGTAAAATAAGGGTACTTCCATGTCTGAGTGATGCTTTGTCTAAAAAGTAATATTATGGTTTTGCTGAGGGTTTTCTATGGGGCTCCAGACATTGTTGAAATGTTTGTCTCTTACTACAACCTCTCCGAGATCAAGGAGAGAAAAAGCTCTCGTCAAATGTTCTAGCCCTGTATCCTACTGCAGATCAAATATCTAACTCAGTGTTATTCTAAGTATTATTTTTAACAAATACAGGGCTGTTCCTATTCACTGTACCCCTAGTGGCACCAAACAGCAATCCCCTTCTCTGGCATTACACACAGTCACCAACTGTTAAGTCATACTTACTTAAAATCTCTGCTGTTTCTGACAGCATAGACAAAAATTAAAAAGTGTAGGGATCTAGGGTTTGCATCCCAGCACTGTTTAGCTGCTGTATCTAGCAGCAGAAAGCTATGCAGCAAATTGAGACTCTTGTTCCATGTCACATCTGGAAAATGACTCCTTGCATTTGCAGCCTGATAGATTCTACATACATGGAAAAGACAACACTGGTAAAAACTAAACCAGGTATGTTACAGTTATGAGGGTATGCCCAAAGTTTTAAAAGTCACTGGAAAAGGGAAAAATGAAATGTCACTCCTGGCAACAAACCAGGCTCTAGTTTTTTTTTCTAACCTTCACTAGATAAATATGGTAGTTTATATTCAATGGGTTTCTAGAGGCAGCACAGACATTTCTCATGGGAATTTTAAATGTATCTTATTTAAATTTAAAATATTTAAATATAAATAATCTATAGTTTATCAACAAAATATAAATGACACACAAATATGTAAACGGACGTTCCCAAATGTTTACTTAGCATGATGGATTTGATGTTAAATTAACATTCTCTTTCTAATTGTAAGGGGCGGGTACCACACCCCCCTATTGCCATAGCCGATAATAAAGTTGGCAATCCTCTGAACTCGTGATGTTGTGCAGGCCTAAAGGGAGAGGAGGGGGTTCTGAACGTGAAGCAAGCAGGAGGAGCAGGTTCTGCATCTGCAAGACAAAGCGGTAGTTGGGCTGCACCTTTGATAGGCAGGACACATCAGCCTTTTGTTTCTGGCAGTGGCGTGTTATATAGCTAGAGCAAGCAGCAAACCAAGTAGTTGATTGGCTCACAAAGCCTTCCTCATCTTCTTCCTCCCATGCAAAGATCAGCCAGTTTTCTGAAACAGCTCCTCTACTGCTTATCCGGCCATAGCCCTGCAAACTGGTATGGAGTAGTCGGGTGAATTATTTTAGCACACCATGACTGACGTTTTAGAGGAGGATGTACAAGCATACATTTTATCAGATAACAGCATTTTTGTCTTACCTGTAAACTTTCTGTATTATTGGATTATGCAGCTACCTTTTGAACACTGACAAATCAATTAAAGCTGTAAGACAGCCCTGTATAACCCCTCCCACTCCCAACCTGCCTCATTTTTGTAGAAAGCAGTACAAGAGTAGATCACAGAAACCTGGGGAGGGTCCTGTCTCCTGTGAGCTACTCCAAGAAACAGATTTTACAGGTAAGACTAAAGTCCTGTTTTCTTGATTGTACATCATAGGTGGCAGTCTTACAGATTTGGGAAACCAAAGCCTGATGATAGTAGGCTCAAGAAGTACTAACGCTCCTACTAGAGTGAGCCCCTAAACACATAGGCCTGAGTGATAGTTTGCTAAATTAACATGGCGATAGTGGAACAAGGAGTTGGCTGCCCCTTATAGGGACACTCAGGAATGAGAAAAAGGGGGTCAGACTAGCAGATGGAAGCTGTAGCATAGAGGTAAACCCAAACAATTTGAACCACATCCAAACAGTGGAGATACATTTCTTTAGCATGCTTCGCTGCAGGACAAAGGGATGGCAAAACAACATCCTGATTAAGTTGTAAGAGACTGTCTTAGAAAGAAAAGAGGTCTGAGCATGAGAGAAGAAAGATATACAGGGCTATTCACGAAAGGGTGAAGAGTTTGGAGAAGGCAGGAAAGAGAATTTTTCCAAATCAGCTATTTTGGCCTAGATTGTTAACTTCTCCTGCCTTCTCCAAACTCTTCACCCTTTTGTGGATAACCCTGATAATCTTTTTCTGTGGAAGGAACACCATGGACAGGGCTGTGTCCAAGACCAAGACTAAGTGATAGAAGGTTTACAGTGAAGACTTCTGGAAGACTCATCCAAAGCTCTGTAGGGTTTGCATCATCCATTGAATGTTGAACAACGAGCTTCCACTGACTGTTCTCTGAGCAGAGGGTCATACTATTGGGATTCCCGAAGACCAAAGCAAAGCTAAACTAAAGCTTGGTAAAGATCCTAGGCAAAGAGGACAGACTGAGTGGAAGGGTAACAAATTAGTAGTGTTGCGTACCCACAGCAAAACTCAGGTAATGTTGATGGGCAGGGAAAATGGGGATGTGCAAAACAAATGTGCAAAGCTGCATCCTTAATGTCCACTGACACCAGAAAGTCTCCTGGTTGAAGGGAGGGGATGACAGAATGGGTAGAATCTATACAGAATTTTTTGAACTTGCAGGAACACATTTATGATCTTGAGCTTGAGAATAGCCCCCACAGACCACCATTTCAGCCACAAAAGGCACTGCATATGTACAGACAGGAACCATTCAGGGGGTTTGTCTAAAGGTAGTAGTGTAATGCCATGGGAAATAGCTCTAGACATTTAAGAGCTGCGAGGTCTAGGGTCCTTAGCTACAGCCTTTGACCATACAGATATGGTCTGACATCCCACCACGGTGGCAACAGTACGTTGCATAGTAGGGTCTACGAGGGCAATAAGGTCTTAAATAG